TAAACATTATGTACATAGTATGTAGACTTGTAAACATTATGTACATGGTATGTAGACTTGTAAACATTATGTACATGGTATGTAGACTTGTAAACATTATGTACATGGTATGTAGACTTTTAAACATTATGTACATGGAATGTAGACTTGTAAACATTGTGTACATGGAATGTAGACTTGTAAATATTATGTACGTGGAATGTAGACTTGTAAACATTATGTACATGGAATGTAGACTTTTAAACATTATGTACATGGAATGTAGACTTGTAAACATTATGTACATGGTATGTAGACTTGTAAACATGATGTACATGGTATGTAGACTTGTAAACATTATATACATGGAATGTAGACTTGTAAACATGATGTACATGGTATGTAGACTTGTAAACATTATGTACATTATGAGGCTCATGTTTTATGTACGCTGAGGTGGTATAAGAGTGTAATCGTACGTATTATATTTCTTTTTTCTTTTAAAAATACCGTTTTTTTTCGACTCGTTTATTCGATTGGAAAGGAAATTATTGTATATTGTGTTTTGCCAGCTTCGTATTTCATTGTGTTAGAAAAATTCAATGACTATCGTAGGTATGGTGTAGAAAAACAAAACAAATTTATTTTATTTTAATACAATCATTCTGTAATACTTTATAGGTCGACAACGTAGAATCACTGAGAGAAAAAAATCGAATTATTGTTTTAAAAACTTCAAATAATAATAATACTCCGTCTTTAAGGCTGACATTACAGATACCTATATATACATAGATACACGTGCCTTCTACAAACACTGCTACAGGAAAGTTTTATTACCAACAATATCGACTGCTTGCTTGACGTCGTTTGTGGAGCCCCACACACACAAACAATGTCAGCACAGCTCATACATAACCAAAATTAATATAGTTCTGAGCACAAACAATATCTACAAATTTCATGCGTAAAAAATTTAAGACAGCTATGCGTATAATCAATGTAAGCATAGCTCAAGCGCAAACTACATTAAGACAGCTCAACACTCAAACAATGTCAGCACAGCTCATACGTAAACAACATTAAGACAACTAAACACTCAAATAATGTCAGCATAACTCAAAGTTAAACAGCATTAAGACAGCTCAACACTCAAAGTCAGCACAGCTCATACGTAAGCAACATTAACACAGCACAGCCCTCAAACAATGTCAGCACAACTCATACTTAAACAACATTAAGACAGCACAGCCCTCAAACAATGTCAGCACAGCTCATAAATAAACAACATTAAGACAGCTCAACACTCAAACGATGTCAGCACAGCTCATACTTCAACAACATTAAGACAGCTCAACACTCAAAGTCAGCACAGCTCATACTAAACAACATTAACACAGCACAACACTCAAACGATGTCAGTACAGCTCATACTTCAACAACATTAAGACAGCTCAACACTCAAACAATGTCAGAGCTTTAATCTTTTTATAACTATAATTTGACAACGATGTTGCTATTCAAATAAAGTTTAATAAATATTCTCTAGACATTAATAGTCCATATAAATAAGTACAAGTATTCGCAAAATTTTAGTTGTTAATATTCACACATAGTTGTTGGCTACAAAGTTGAATCGTAGAGGTGTAACTAGCCTACGCCAGATGACATTAATATCAGTTTCCTGGTTACACCATGCAGGACTTTCATATTCATTCTGTTCAGTTGTCCACTTTGGAACATCACAACTTAACCTCAGTAAGGGTAAAATATACAACCCTTACTTCTGTCATTTCCTTGACTCTTTAGAAGAAATTGGTCAAGCTAGCAAAAATCAAGAGGTCACGAAAATCTCTATTGTGTCATAATCGCCAAGGTACCGTACACGAATTCTTGATGCATTATTGTCACTAACAAAGAGTCTCATCCTCTGTAGTTCTCTCATTCACTGTTATCCACATTAATTTATCTGCTGCCGAAGTGTAGAAAGACGCGTCTTATAAACACGTAATTACCATTTCGAATTTTGCACACCCAGTCCACTAAAAAATGTGTTTATATTCGACATAGTTCTCAAAGATCAAAGCGGATTCAGAAAACTCGTAGTTTTTTTGTTTTTTTTTGGTGAGTTGTTCAAGACTAAAAGAAGTGATCCATTTGTTCTGATCCACGAAGGCTATATAAATACAGGTGATCTATAGGCGGCTGAGAGCTGTAGGTCCAGAATTGTGTTAATGCCTGTGAACTGATGTTATTTGTTCACGTTTATTTTTAAAAGTAACATCAATAGCTGTACTGTAATAGCAAGCTACACACTACCACTTCTTACAGGAAACACTCACTGAACGGTACTTAATGCTAGTTTTACAGCTGTAGCATCCTTGCCATTAATGGAAAAATACTGTCGTGATAATGGAGAAATAAAAAAGGCTTTCCTTGCTCTAACGACCAGTTCTGGAACTAACTAAATTCATGCTGTAGAAGAATATGCTAAGATTTGAATGTGCGAGTTTAGAATATTTGGGAAAGTTTGAAAGAATTAAAGATCGTCGAACGCCCTTCCTTCAATGGAAGCGGGAAAGCGGGTTTCTTCACGTGAGATAACTTATTTTCGTTTTGTTAGACACACACATACATTGAAAGTGTTAAAAACTGTTAATAGAATTATCTATAAAATTTCATTATTCAATCTGGTGCTTTTAGACGTATACGTCCCGACTGTTTCTCGCTCATTTCGTTCGAAAGGTTGTCTGTAAGGACGTTTCTGTCGAGGGTTACAGGAGATGATTTTGTGAAAAGCTTTCCGGAAGTTTTCGGAGAGAAAGGCGTAAAGAATAGGGTTAACGCAAGAATTCATGTAAGCCAAGATATGAGAAGAAACCTGAAAAGCGATGGTGGATGTGTTATGTTCGTATTTGTCCAAACTCTTCAGCACCAGAACAATCTGTATGGGACACCAACAAATGGCAAAGATCAAAACAACTACGACCACCATCCGAGTGACTCGTTTCTTTGATTTCTGGCTTTCCGCGCTTATTTTCCCGCCTGGTGTCACGTGAAACCACAATCGTTTCAACATGAGCATGTAGAGGACAAAGATCAGAACCAGTGGAATTACGTAGGAGGAAAGAAAGAAGGAAATCTGAAAGGCAGCATAGTTATAACCTTTCATTGCGAGGAACCCACAAGTCGAATGTTCCATCTGCCTGTACATGTAATTCATAAGTCCATGGGCCTCTAGAAGCGGTACACAAGCGATAAGGATACAGGACCATGTTATAGCTATGGCGATGTAGGCATTTCTTTCTGTGCGGATAGACATCGACGTAATTGGGTGTACTACGGCCATAAATCGATCTAGAGACATGAGAACCAGTGTATAAATACTGGCGTAGGCACAAACGAATACCAAATACTGGACGATACGGCACCAGATGTCGCCAAACGGCCAATAGGGAAGAGAGTAGTCCCACCCAGTGAAAGGTACACAAAATATTATGAAGAGAAGATCTGCTATCGCTAGGTTAATGATGAGAAGGTTGGTAGTGGAACGCATCTGATGGTTGAACCAGACAACAATAACCACAAATGAATTGCCTATCAAACCAATGACAACAATGGCACCAAAAAGGATAGGTATTAGGACACTGAGGATTCGTTCCATCTCTTCAGCTTGAAAATAATCTATGTCTTCCTCTCTACTGTCATTTCCAAGAAAAGACAAATTACTCATATTGTTATATGTATCTTGCAGGGTGTGGTTTAAGAAAATGGGAAATGAAGATGACATTGATTCCGGTTGGATTTCTTTTGGAGAATTGTTATTTTGAACATCAATTTCTATATCCATATTGTATTAGACACCTACTAACAGTTCCATCAACCTGTCAAATCGAACGTAGTCTCCTGGTTCTCCAGAGATAATCTGTAAATAACATAAAAAAAAGACATTTGAAAAAAATTCGAAAATTATAAGACATGGTGAAGAAATAGAAATATGAAGCTCATTTTGGAAGAGGCATCACATATTATATAGCTGTTTGAGTTTGTTTGGAGACATCATTTTAGATTTAGGGCATATAATCATTTTTACATCTACTTTAGAATCTTATAGAAACGTTTTAATGACAGACACATCAATGTCTGACTTGAATCATATAAAAGTTAGTCTTAATTCTTTAGGCTTACAGAGTCTGTAGTATTATATGAATTCGTTTTTCAGCCACTAATACTTTATTAAAAATTTTAATATAACTTGTATGGGATTTGAAACTCTAATATTTTTGTTATTAACATAACAAGACTTAGGTATTTGTATGAGGAAGCATATTATGCTGATATAATAATACATTTAATATAATAATAAATAGGCAAACAACGGTTTCTAAGCATAATAAAGTGATTCATTAATGGAACATATTACGTGTTTCGACATAACATTGGTCTGTCTTCTTCATGCCTGCTTACATATATCGTTGTTTGCCCATTTATTAAGACTTCAATCACATAAATGTTAATTTTCAGTTCTTATGACTTCAAAATCTATAAAGTCATATAAGTTCGTTTTTTTGTCACAAGAAATTTATTAAAAAATGGGATTTTTTTCAAATAGTAAAACCACTAATAATATATATATATATATATATACATTTGCGAGTATTAGATAAATCAATTAATATTTCGTACGTTGTATAAATAAAAATTATGTAACTTTAAACGAAATACGTTAAGTTACTACACAGATATGCTTTGGACTAGTTAACCTAAACGAGCATCACAGAACAGATTCGTTTAATCATATAAACATTTTTTGCATCATCTTTTGTCTTTTCTAGCAGTTCAGCATAATATGGCTCATAGTTTTAATTAGAAAACATGCTTATGCATCCATTTGGCTCATAGTTTTAATTAGAAAACACGCTTATGCATCCATTTGGCTCATAGTTTTAATTAGAAAACATGCTTATGCATCCATTTGGCTCATAGTTTTAATTAGAAAACATGCTTTTGCATCCATTTGGCTCATAGTTTTAATTAGAAAAT